GTCAACGGTCCTGAGCACTCTTCCCATCTGTACATCCTTCTGCAACCACAACACAACGTATGTAGAATCACAAAATGGCTAAGGTTGGAAGGCACCCAGTGGCTCATGTCAAGTTTCTCATCTACCACCGCCCCCAAGTCCTTCTCCTCAGGACTGCTCACAATCCATTCTCCCTCCAGCCTGCATTTGTGCCTGGGGTTGTGCCAACCCAGGTGCAGGACTTTGCACTTGGCCTTGTTGAAGTTCATGAGTTCTACTTGACTTTCTCTTAGTTAGGATGCATCGCTCTTGGGCCTGGACAAGGTGATCCTTAATTATCAGCCAGCTTTCATGGGTCCCTCTTGTCCCCAGGATGTTATCCCATGACACTCTCTCAAGCAGATGCCTGCAGAGGCTGAAATCTGCCCTCCTAAAGTCAAGGGTAGTAAGCTTGCTGTGAGCCCTCCTTGCTGCCCTAAGGATCTTGAGCTCCACAAATTCATGGCTGCTACAACCCAGGCTGCCCTTGAGCTTAGCATCCCTCACCAGCCCTTCCTTGTTGGCGAGGACAAGGTCCAGCATGTAAATTACATTATATCAAGAACTACAGATAATGCAACAAATGATAGTCAGCTCAGACCATAAGGCCTTCAGAAAAATCAGATCATCACAACCATGTACAGAGTGTTCTGGTACCTGGAGGCAACGGTGTTTTTTTCTGAATCAAAACCACAGCAACTTTTGTGTTTCTTCCCTGCAAACTCTGCCTAAAACAAAACAAAAAAAAAACAAAACAGAGCACAGCATCAAGGTTTTATTTCTTTTTTGTGAATAATCAGAACAAAATGATATTTCAGTCTAGATGGAAACACTGAAAGAATGCTATATATGAAATAAAACCAAATATAAAATTTGCTCAGGTGGGACAGAATAGTTGTGCCCAGTTTAGGAAGCAATTCACATTTACCACTACCTTGTAGGACACTATGAATGAAGCAGAAAAACTCTACCTGACAATTTCAACTCGAGTTGCACATTCTGACTGTTTCTCTTTCCATTGTGGCTCATCCCAGTCTAGTTCGTAGAACACCACGACCAGTGCTGGAACCAAATTCAGGTGTTTGTTCATCCATCCAGTCTTCAGAATTCCTTTTGGAATATACCATTCATAGGATGTCCTCTGAAAAGATTGAGGTTATTAAAGCAAGCTACCAAAGCCATTTACCAGACTCTCAGGATAGCAGAAGGGGAGTTGTCTCTACATGCTTGTTACTATGTCATCTTTCCTTTACCATTCTTCCCTTCATGCCTTTGCTTCCTATTGGGAAAGATATACACCTTACTCCCTGGCATCAGGGCACAATGCCTGAGATGTCAGCAACAAAGAACAGCAAATTCCAGGCACATTAAACAAAAAGGTCAAGGTCAAAAGCACATTTCACCACCTTTCACAAAAAAAATAGGTTTCTTTTAAAAAGAGAAAACAATTAGAATTCATGTTCCTTGCAAGCATCACAGAACTGTGTAACTTCCCAAGGGTAAAACCCATTAGCATTGCTTTTAAACCACTACTGCAAAGCAGAAATTAGAGCACAGATAATCTTTCTTGTGCACTTCCCTTAGTTGAGGTGGGGTTTTTTTTCTCTTGGTTTTGTTTTTTTCAGAATGCACCGATTTCAAGTACTTAATTTCTCGATAGTTAAAACTTTGGGTTTCATTACAACCCGAATTTTATCAGCATATCTTGATGCTGAATAAACCAACAACAAATACGTTAAAGTGCAAGTCATTCTGGCTTTCCCTGCTCCTGGCTTCCGAGCGGAGGCAGCCCTGGCTCCCCGCGCACCCGCAGCGCTCCCCGCACGGCCTCCGGCTTCCCCTCAGCCCGGACAGTTTTCCTCAGACTCCCAAGCCCCGAAACGCCTCCCCCAGCAGCGGGGAAGGAGCCAGCACGTTGAGCCGGCTGAGCAACAAGCGCTGCTATTGGGAAAGATATACACCTTACTCCCTGGCATCAGGGCACAATGCCTGAGATGTCAGCAACAAAGAACAGCAAATTCCAGGCACATTAAACAAAAAGGTCAAGGTCAAAAGCACATTTCACCACCTTTCACAAAAAAAATAGGTTTCTTTTAAAAAGAGAAAACAATTAGAATTCATGTTCCTTGCAAGCATCACAGAACTGTGTAACTTCCCAAGGGTAAAACCCATTAGCATTGCTTTTAAACCACTACTGCAAAGCAGAAATTAGAGCACAGATAATCTTTCTTGTGCACTTCCCTTAGTTGAGGTGGGGTTTTTTTCTCTTGGTTTTGTTTTTTTCAGAATGCACCGATTTCAAGTACTTAATTTCTCGATAGTTAAAACTTTGGGTTTCATTACAACCCGAATTTTATCAGCATATCTTGATGCTGAATAAACCAACAACAAATACGTTAAAGTGCAAGTCATTCTGGCTTTCCCTGCTCCTGGCTTCCGAGCGGAGGCAGCCCTGGCTCCCCGCGCACCCGCAGCGCTCCCCGCACGGCCTCCGGCTTCCCCTCAGCCCGGAAGTTTTCCTC